GGAATAGAGGTCCAGTTACTCTAGTTCTTAGTAAGTGGCAGCAGCCTACTACCAGGGCCTTAAATCAGAGTTTGCCCTGTGAGAAAACTCAAGATTGGAAAGGGTGAGATCTTTTATTAGGTGGAGAGTTGCCTTGATTGAAAGTTTCGAAATGGAAGAAATGGGTCATCCCCAACTGATGGTCGGATGGGTCTCATAGAGAGGGAACTCTAAAATTGCCGGGAACACTCCCCACGTTCTCAAGTCATTTATTGTTAAGGGATTGCCTTCCGTGAGAATTTTCAGATCTGGGAAGAAAATTGTTTCTTAAGAAAGTCTTGGTGAGCTGGCTGCCCTGAATGAAAACACGGGGGCAGAAATCGTGGCCATGGAGAGCAGTTAAATGGTGCAAAGTTCGTTGTTGCAGGCTGTGACTGCGGGCTTGTATTGAGGTGCGGAGACTCGGCCAGGCACGCAGACCTGCCTCGTCGGACAGAGTTCAGGGGAATCCCTGGTGCAGCGCCTTCTGGGGCCTACCGCCTTCCCGGCGGGTCCCGTGAGTTGGGCGGCTGCGGGCGGCTCTGGCACGGTCGCAGCCTCCAGCTCGCCCGTGACTCATTCGGAAGGGGCGGGGGAAGGGGGCTTCCTGGAAGCCGTGACGAGGAGGCTCAGCCCGGACGCCCAGGTTCCTCTCTGTAACCAGGGCTTCTGTCGCCTGTAAACAGAGGCTCGAGGACAACGGGAAAAGGGTGAAAAGGGAGGTGTCTGGCACCCGCCTCCTAGCTCGGCTCCAAATCCCTGTGCCGCTAATAGGACGAAGACGGCGGGAAAGAGGGAGGCGGGGGGCACCCTGGGGTCCCCAGAGCCCGGCTAGGCTTGGGTCTCGATGCTGGAGGAGGGATTCCAGTTTCGAGTCCCTGGAGACTGGGAGCGTGTCCCATCCCTGAGTCAGGCCGACCCCCTCCCCTTTCCCATGTGCTGAGTCATCTCCCCGAGAACCTGGACGCTTGGGATAGTGTAACTCTCCTAGAGGCTGGAGCGGGTGGGGAGCTTTGCACAGGGAAGGCCGGCCACCCACCGAAACACAGGCGGGTAGGCCCCGAAGCCCGGGCCTGGGCCCCCCGTTCCTCAGATCTAGAGGTTAGGGTCTCCAAGCCACCCCCACGCTCAGACCCAGGAGAGCCGGCCCCCAGCCCCCTCCACAGTCAGGCGCGAGTCCAAGCCCCCAGCCCCTCTTCTCTCCGACTTAGCAGCCCGGCTCCCATCCCCCACCTCCAACTCGGTCCTGGCCGCGGTGGCGTCTCCGCCCAGGAGGAAGTTCTGGGCAGGACTCCTCCCCACTCCCCACGTAGCCAGCGGGAAAATCCGTGGCCCGGCTCGCGGCCGGGAATCCCCTCTGGAATGACGGTGGGGAAGGGGATGGCCGGGGTACCCCGCGGGGCACAGGGGGCAGGTCCTCGGCTGGAGAGAGAAGGGGAAAAGGGGCGGAAACCAGAGAGGCTAAAAATACTGCCAGCACTTCCGGCCTAGGGGGAGGGGAACGGAGAGCAGAGTTTCCAGAAAAACAAGCGGGGACGGGAAACGCGGGGGTGTGAGAGCCTGAGCGTGTGCGCGGGCGAGCGGGGCCCTGTGCCGGAGGCACGTGTGTGCCCCTGGCGTGCCTGCCTGGGCGTGAGCGGGCGCGGTGGGCTGTGTGGAACTGCGCGGGGCCGCTGCTGTGTGCGTCTGACGCGGTGAAGTGTGGGCGCTGCAGGTGCGAAGGTGTGCGCCCTGGCGTGACTGGGTGTGAGACCTGGGCTGCCTGCGGCCCACCTTCCTGTGTGGGGCTTGCCTTCCAGTCCCACTCGACATGTCTATGAATAAACGTGTGAAGCCACCTGGGCCTGTGGGGTTGACTATGCGGTGTTTACTTGAGCCAGCTTGGGGAATGGGAGTATGTACTCAACCTAACTGCCTTTGAGGTAGCCTTCATGAAAATGTGAGCCTGACATACGCACCCGCAGGACTACGTGTAGTTCTGAACCACAGTGGGATCTGGAGTGACTGTGTAACTCCTTGAGGGAGCCTAGTAAGGGTGTGCACGAACGCCCTCTTGTAGGATGATCTGTGCACACACTTCCAAGTTGTGTGTAAGTATATGAGATTACAGGCAGCTGTGGCTGTGTGCAAGCCCCTGCAGCTCAGTGTATGTGGTGAAGTGCTGTCTGTGTCCTTATTTGGGGGGTGTCACTGGGAACATGTGAGGCCACTGTCTGGATGCAGTTCCTCTGTGGCCAGTCACAAGGCAGTGAAACTGGTGAACTTTGGTTCCTGACGTCTAGAACACACGATGCTGGGGAGGGCAGTTGGCACACACCCTGCTCCATGTTGTCATTCCTGGTGGCCTCACTGGGCCAACCAGACACACACAGGCTCACACACTGGCACCTGGGAAACCTTATCTCTCCTCAGCCAATGATGCTTTTGATAACGTTGAGCTGAGGGCAGGGCTGAGTCAGCCTGTGATGGGCAAAGTCTGAGATGAGGTGAGAGATAGCAAATTAAGTGGTGGTTAGAGGGTTGTTTATAGATTCACATAGTTGAATTGTTCCTTTAGTCTGTTTGTGGGCTTGTGCTATTCTCTGCTGGGTGGGGTGAATTTAGTCCCGGTTTCCCCTGATGTTTTGCCCTGTGACTGCGTATCTTATGTACACCCTTTCCTGACGTGTGTGGTTATGTACCAGGCTATACAATCTCCCTCTGGGTTGAATAATCTAGTAAAGGTCCTCCATAACCTGCCTTGGCTTCTATCCCAGCCCCTTCACTGTGGTCCAGGCCTCCACATTAGTTCATAAACACACTATCACATTCCTGCCTCAGGGCCTTTGCATTTGCCATTCCCTCTCCCTGGAATGTTCTTTGCCCCAATGTCCTTATTCTCATGACTTAGTCTCTCCTTCAAGTCAGTCTTGTCAGTGAGGCCTTTGTATCCTGTCAAAGATTTAAAAGTTAAATAAAAACTTTGCTATCTACTTAACAAATAATACATATCTATTTCCAGACCATAATAATGAACACCCATGAACTACTGCCCAACCTAAGCTCTCAAACTTTATTTTGAACTTCTATTTGATAAACTGTTGACCCTTGAACTGGGCAGGTCCACTTATATGTGGGGTTTTTTCAATAAATACTCTTAAGTATTTTCCCTTCCTTATGATTTTCTTAGTAACAGTTTCTTGTGTTGACTCCACCTCACAGGGCCAGCTGTGCCTGTCTTCTGAGCGTGCCTGCCTGTGGTCTACATCTCCACTAGTACATGTCATGTACCTCCACGCTGGAAGGTGGTGGGCTCTCCTGGGTAGAGTGCATTTTTGGTTGTACACAGATAATTGTGTCATGTTAGGTGGGAGTATGACTTTGTTCTTGTATTTAATTAGAGATTAATTATGGTTAATGAGATGTGTATGGTGCCAAACTGATAAGGACTAGATTACGATGGTCAGTTTTACGAGTCAACTTGGCTAGGCTACAGTCCCTGTTATTCAATCAAATGCTAATGTAGATGGTGCTGTGAAGGAATTTTGTAGATGTGATTCAAGTCCATAATCAGTTCACTTTAAGTAAAGGACACTATCCTAGATGATCTGGGGAGTCAGATGGGGGAGATGATTCAGTCAAATAAAAGGGCAGAGATGTGGCTTCCCTGAGGAAGAAATTCTACCTGTGGACAGCAGCTTCAGCTAATGACCCAGAGGTCTGCTGCCCTTCCTAAGGGCCTGTCCTATTTGTCTGATACACATACCCACACCCACACGGCTAGCCATTTCCCAGGACTCCAGTGTGGGGACTTGGGCTTTGGGTGAATCATAGGTGTCCATAGTCCTGGGCTTTTCTTGCAGATGTGGGGTCCAGAACAAGAGGCCTCTGGGCAGCGACATGGGAATCAGGGTACAGAAGGTGTTGCGTGGGGGCAGTCCCCCAACCAGGCTGAGTCACTTGAGCCTTTCACACCCCACCAGCTGGGCCTGGGCTAGCAGCTCCACCCTGCACTTGCCCAGGCCTGAAGGCCATGGCTGAGCTCTCCAAAGCTTGCTCTCAGAGAAGTGGGGAGCCTGGTAGGGCACTCCCTCCTTGAAGCCCCCTCCCCAAGGCCTGCTTCCCGGAGCTGGGGCCTGGGCCAGGCGCCTGGGTTCTTCCCCAGGACTGATGATTCACCCCTTCTGAGGCCTTTTCACTTCTCCTTTGGGGCTAAAAATATAGGGACCCAGGCATCCAGCTGGGCCAGACTTCACCACGGATTGCACAATGCCCCTAGTTTAAGTGTTGCTGACGCAGGCTCTGGGTAGGGGTGGGGGCCTGAGTTGCTCCCCAACCAGGCATGCTGAGGTCAGGGCTTAGACCCCTTTACTTCCCCTTTCCTGGGCCAAGGACACTGGGGACTGGGCTGACATGGGAGATGCCTGGGATACCTGGGCTTGGCTGTTAGCTCCTGGAAATGAAGCTCCCTCCCCTATTCTTAGGTATCCCAGTGGTTCTGGCTCCCAGAATGTGGCCTCCTTCATAGACAGAGTCCCAGTGAGGCCTTAGGGGCAGAAGACAGGAAAGGGGGAATGAGAGACAGATGGTGAGACACAGGACCACAGAGGCGGACAGACAGACACATGGACAAAAAGAGACTGACTGAATGAGAGAGACTGTAACAGACACATGCAGCAAAGACACAAGGGAACACCTAGAAAAAGGAACAGACAAAGACACCACGCTCATAGTGGGATATAATGGTAAGGATAGAAGGACAGAGGTCCAGTTAGGGCTTCACACCCAGGGCAGGTAGTGGAAGCGCCCTAGGAAGAGGTCTTCCACAAAGGCACAGTCCAAAGTCCACCCTCCCTAGAGAGGAAAGCAGGCCGCCCACAGACTGGCTCCCCACCCCCTCTTCCCCTGTGCGCTCCCTGCTGGCCTCTGCTGCCCCCTGCTGGCTGCCATCCAAGCGCTCAAGCGAGGAAAAAAGTCAAGAGACAAAGCTGCTTTGAGACCACTCTTCATTCCCTCCCAGTACCTCTCCCCCGCGGCCTTCCCCACTCCCAGCCCTGCCAGCTCACAAGGCACCCCCAGGGCCCGTAGGTGGTGCAGAAGTCTTCCCCGTAACCTTGTTGGCACAATCTAGCAGAGCGGTGTGAATGTCCTTGGCACAGGCAATCTGGGTTTTGATGACGGTCAGGTACTGAGGATAGGGCAGGCTGTCAGGCTGTACCGCATCTGGTTTGGTGGCTGTGGGCACCAGCGTGGGAGAGTGCTTTGCACTGTCGCAACTCTGTGACAGGCACTCATGTGCCAGGCGCTGTGGACAGGCAGGCAGGGTACAGCATCAGCTTCACTCTGGGTACTCCCAACTCTGCCCCAAAGGCCAGCCTGGGGTAGCCTACCTGGCTTCTGGACTCCTTCTATATACTTCCTCTACCCAAGCCTTAAATGCAGCAATTTCCATGGCCCATCGATCCTCCTCTTACTCTCATACCCTCTTGGGTCTGTCTCATCCCCACATACCACTCAATGCCCACCTCTGCACTGATGACAGTACATGTATGTCCCCAGCTCCCCCTCAAATTCCAGGGCTCTCACACTCTCCCCTCAACCCCAAACTGCTCCTCTTCCTGGGTCCCTATCTAAGAAATGGCCATATCATTCCAACTAGAGCCCTGTACCTCATCCTGGAGGCTCCTCCTTTCAAAACCCATCAGTTCCATGGCCTGTACACAAAACCTCTGAGTCTCTCTCCCATTTGCCCTTCCCTACTTCCTCAAGGCACTGCACTGGTAGAGCCTTGCCCACTGAATCCTGCCATGGCTGTCCCCTTGAACTCCCAGCCTCCACTCCGGGCCCCTTTAACCCATCCCTCATTTGGAATCTAGAGGCATATTCTTTTTTTCCTTTTAAATATATCTTTATTGATTTCAGAGAAAGGAAAGGGAGAAAGAGAGAGAAACATCAATGATGAGAGAGTCATCGATCAAGCCCGCAACCCGGGCACGTGCCCCGACCAGGAATCAAACCCCGACTGCTTGGATCCCAGGTCGATGCTCAACGGCTGAGCCACGCCCAGCCAGGCTAGAGGCATATCGTTAAAAAAGCATTGTGTCATGCACCGAGAGGTCGCCAGTTCCATTCCTGGTCAGGGCACATGCCTGAGTTGCAGGCTTGATTGATCCCCAATAGGGGGTGGTGTGCAGGAGGTAGGCGATCAGTGTTTCTCTCTCTCACTCTCCCTTCCTCTCTCTCTAAAAATCAATTTTAAAAAATCTTAAATAAGTAAACAAAAACATTAAAAACACACACACAATGGGTCTATGTTCTTCCCTGTTTGAAAAGCTGGATGGTTTCCCAGCACCTTCAGAGCTGTATTCAAAATTCAACAACCTTGGAGCAACCTCCACTTCCTTCCCTCAGGCCATACTTTCTTTTCTTTCCTCCTAAACTCTAAGGGTCCTCACGAAACTTGAAAGCAGAGAGCAGTGGGCTTTAAAGACCCTCCTTTTACTTCTATAACTTTCCTTCCTGAGTCTAGGCAGCCCAGTCTAGGCTTACTCCCAGTCTAGGCTGTGATCTTGCCTCTTCTATCCTAAGCCTTTCCTTTGTTTTCACTCTAATAAATCATGCAACTAGCACCTAAAAAAAACCCACACAAACCAACAAGCCCCAATGCCAAATATACCTCAGCCAGATTATTTTGTAACATTTCTAAAGGGAATTTAAAGCAGAAGCTGTTCTTTTTTACTGGAATACCTTTCTACCATTACCAGGCTTCTCAAACTCTGACTTTTCCTTTAAAACCAAGTTCAAAATAATGATGACAGTGATACTACAGGAAACATCTGCCATGTGCCTACTACCATATTAAGTACTTTACGTGATGAACTTGCTGAGGCAGAGGTTGGTGGTCCATCTGACTTCAGATGCTGTGCTCTTAGCCACTTGCCCTCTTCTCAATTCCTGCCCCTCTTCCATTTTTGTTACTGCTCCACCTCTGATGTGCTCTCTACCAACAGCCTTCCTTCCCTGAGCCACACTCTCCCTGGCAACACCCCAGGCAGAGTCAGATGCCTTTTCTGGGTTTCCACAGCCCCCTGAGAGTCCCTGATTTTAATCTTGACCTCTCTAACTGTGCCCCCATCATCATCAAGCCCTGACCTCTGAAACCTAGGTTTCTCCCATTACAGCTCTTAGCACTCTAAGCCATCACTGTTTGGGGATGTATGTTACCTCACTGAACTGGAAGCTCTGTGAGGGCCAAGATCACGGCAACACTGTGTCCCCAACACCAGCTGAAGCACAGTCTGGCCCACAGGAGGTGCTCAGTGTATGTGTTGACTGACTGAATGAGAATTCCTTAAGAACCAGGGACTGAGTCAAGGTTGTGGTCAGCCAGTATCTAGGAGACCCCTTACCAGGCAGAGCTCCAGCTGGTCACAGAGTGCGTAGAACTCCTCCAGACACTTGTCAAAGCGCTGTATGGGTCCATCACTGCTCTTTCTATAGCCCAGGAGAAGGAGACTGAGGAATGATTTCCAATTTCCGAGACATCAGGGTCTACCCAACCAAGTATCCATCAGGAAACCAGGAGCCCTGAGGCAGGGACTAGGGGACTGGAAGTAGTAGAAGAGGCAGGAAGAGCAAGGCCGGGAGCTAGGGAACCAGGCTTGAAAACAGAAGGTAAAGAGGGTGAGTGGGCAGGGCTTGGGGAATGAGTTTCTAAGAATGGGGTGGAGATCCTGGGAAACCGGACTACACTTACTGTCCGTTGTCAATGTTAGTGTTCTGAATCAAGTTCTGGGCTGCAACCTTCATTAAAGTCTAGTTTAAAAAAAAAAAAAGATGCGGGAGATAGAGAAACAGAAGGGGACATTTTTGGTAGTCTACACGCTTCCTTAAGATCCAGTCAATCTCAGGCCTCCCCTTCACTTGACATGCTGTAACTCCAGAGAACTCCGGCTTCCATTCCTCTATAGGAATAAACACCCGTATTTTCCTAGCGGCCCGCTCTCACCTGGGGTTCTCGCCAATGACCTCCCGACATGCCTTAGAGTCCTCCCTCACCACTAAACAATCAATCAGAATCTGGACAAGCCGTCACTTCCTTAGGCTTTAACGACCAGAGCCCGGTTTCTCCTTTAAACTCCCTCCCACTCGAGTTCCGGCCAATCCCAGGCTCAACATTCGCGCTGTTCCTACGAAGAGCGTCTCACTCCTTTTCTCTTGTCTAAAGCTCCTTTAGTTCGCTCCCTGCCTACGCAGCCCCTCGGTCCACCCCCTTTGAGTCAGAGAGCAAAACCCCGCTAGCTTCTAGAAGCTCTCGGCGAATCACCTGAAGACTCTCCTTCAGCTGCGGGATAAGCATCTTATAGCGCTGCACAGGATCGAAGTCTTGTTGCTGTTGCTGCAAAAGCCCGCTCTGGGCAGACCCCACCAGCTGTGTCGGTGGTTGCGGTTGCTGCTGGGTACCCGGGCCACCAGCCGAACCTGGACCCGACACACCAACAGCGGAGGAAGCCGCTGTTACCTGCTGCTGGGACGCAGCCATCTTCCACAGTTAGCGCGCCGGAAGTGCGTCACAAGTGCGTCTCTTCAGATTTCTATTTAGCATCTTGGTCTCTAGGCCTCGTTTACTAGTTAGCTCCACTCAACCAATTTAGCCAATGGGAGGTAAGGCACCGGACCCTCAACACTTGATTCTCAAATCCGACGTCCAGACTAAGATACCATTGGCCAATCACAAAAGGCTCCTCTATAGCTCCGCCCCCTTACCCAACGGCTGGCCAATCCGGGTGTGGGTTTAACCCGGACTCTATTTCCCAGAAGACCCCGCGGCCTGAGGCGACTTGTCCGTGCTTCACTGTCCTGGCGGCAGTTGGTGGATCCGCAGCTGATAATAGGCGGCTTCCCGTTTACCTGCGTCTCCACTGGAACTCTTCTCATCAGCCTACCTCATCCCGACGCTGACCCCACGGACAGGGGCGCCAACCCGAGCGCTGCCTCGGATTAAGTGTCCGTCGAAGTCGGCAAGCCCCACCTTGTCTCCCCGCGGCTCAGCAAGGGCCCAGTCCTGACGGCTGTCGCCTTGTCGCCATGGCGCCCACCATCCAGACCCAGGCACAGCGGGAAGATGGCCACAGGTAGGCGCTTCACAGTTTGTCCGTGTCGTCTACCCAGGTTTCGGCGAGGCAGGGGGTCGGGCTCGGGTGTCTACCTATAACGTCACTAGTCCCCCAGTTCTGCCCGTGGCGTCACGGAGCACTCAAAAGAGAGGGGTTTCTTCAGAGATGAAGTGTGTTGCCCCTTCTCCTCGCCATGGAGTTCGAGAATTAAGCACTTGGAGACTTTAATGGGATTGAGCACTTGGTTTCATTCACTTAAAAATTTAGGGACACTTTGTCTAAAAGGAATTGAATAATTGGTTCCCTCCATTAAAGCACTTGGAGCACCCATACCTAAAGGATTGTTACCCACCCCTTACCTCTTTTAAAAACTTTGAGAAGCCCCCTTCACTCTCCTGTCAATCTCATCGTCTCCATCCTTCTACCAATGTCTTTTTCTCTTACCCACCAGGCCCAATTCCCACCGGACTCTGCCTGAGAGGTGAGCCCCATTATGTTTTCCTCAGAGGGGCGGGCCAATGGGGGCTGAAAGCAGAGGTGGGCAACGGGCTGGTTCCCACCCCCAGTGTATCAGCGGTTTTTATTTGTTTGTTCCCTAACCCCTACCCTCCTCCCCTTTGGCAGCCATTAGTTTGTTCTCTATATCTGTGGGTCGGTTTCTATTCTGTTTTGTTTATTCATTTGTTTTGTTTAGATTCCACATATAAGTGGGATCATGTGGTCCTTGTTTCTCTATTTCATTTAGCATAATACCCTCTGGGTCCACCTGTGTTGTCCCAAATGGCAAACTTTTATTTTTTATTGCTGAATAATATTCCACTATACATATACACAAACACACATACCAGATCCTCTTTATCTACTCATCTGTTGATGGACATCTAGATTGCTTCCGTACCTCAGCTATTGCTAGTAATGCTGCAGTGAACATAGGGGTGCATATATCTTTTCCAATTAGGGTTTTGATTTTCTCTGGATAGTCAGAAGGAGAATTTGCTGGATTGTATGGCAGCTCCAATTTTAATTTTTTGAGGAATCTCTCTACTGTTTTCCATAGTGGCTGCACTAATTTACAATCCCACCAACAATGAGAATTCCCTTTTCTCCACATCCTCACCAGCACTTACTTGTTCATTTTGACAGGTGGGTGGTGATATCTCATTGTGGTTTTAATTTGCATTTCCCTGATGATGTTGAGCATCTTTTCATATGTCTGTTGGCTGTTTATCCGTTTTGGAGAAATGCCTATTCAGGTCCTCTGCCAATTTTTAAATTGGATTGAAATGTTTTATTTTTTCGTGTAAGTTAACTTGTGTGAGTTCCTGGTATATTTTGGATATTAACCCATTATTGGATGTATTATTTGGGAATATCTTCTCCCACTCAGTAGGTTGACTTTTTGTTTTGTAGATGGTTTTCTTTGCTGTGCAAAACCTTTTTAGTTTGATGTAGTCCCATTTATTTATTTTTTGTTTTTGCCCAGGAGACATATCCAAAAAGCTATTAAGAGTAATATCAAAGACTTCACTGCCTGCCCAGCTGTGGTGGCTTAGTGGTTGGGCATCATCCTATGATCCAGGAGATCTCGGTTCCATTCCGGTCAAGGAACATGCCTGGGTTGTGGGCCTGATCCTAGCAGGGGGCGGGCCAGAGGCAGATCAATGACTCATCATTGATGTTTCTGTCTCTTCCTCTCCCTTCCTCTCTCTCTGAAATCAGTAAGAATATATATTTTTTAAAGAGAGACTTTACTGCCTATGTTTTTTCCTAGTTTTATGGTTTCACAGTTAACTTTTTTTTTTACAGTTAACTTTTTAATCCATTTTGAGTTTATTTTTGTATATGGTTTAAGAAAGTGGTCCAGTTGCACTTTTTGCATGTTATCTGTCCAGTTTTCCCAATACAACTTATTGAAAAGACTGTCTTTATCTTAGTAGATATCCTTGTCTCCTTTGCCATAGATTGACCATAAAAGTGAGGATTTATTTCTGGGCTCTTTATACCATTGATTTATGTGTTTGTATGCCAGTACCATATTTTGATTATTGTGGCTTTATACCATAGTTTATCAGGGAACGTGGAACCTCCCACTTTGTCCTTTCTCAAAATTTCGGTGGCTATTCGGGATCTTTTGTGGTCCCATATAAATTTTAGGATTAGTTATTGTAGTTCTGAGAGGAATGCCATTGGTGTTTTAATAGGGATTGCATGGCCCGGCTGGTGTGGCTAAACGGTTGAGTGTTGACCTGTGAACCAGGAGATCACAGGGTTCGATTCTTGTTCAGGGCACATGCCTGGGTTGCGGGCTCCATCCCCAGTGTGGAGAGTGCAAGAGGCAGCTGATCGATGATTCTCATCATTGCTGTTTCTTTCTCTCCCTTCCTCACTCTAAAATCAATAAAGACATTTTTTAAAAATGTGTATTCTGCAGCTTTGGGGATGAAATGTTCTATAAATGTCTGGTAAGTCCATCTGGCCTAATGTGGTATTTAAGGCCATTAATTCTCTATTAATTTTGTGTCTGGATGAACTAATCCATTGATGTGAATGGGGTATTAAAGTCCCTACTATATTGTATTACTGTGGATTTCTCCCCAGATGTCCATTAATATTTGCTTTGACTTACCCCTCTGTAATTATGTAATGTCCTTCTTTGTCTTTTTTAACATTTTTTGTTTTAAAGTCTATTTTGTCTAATAGGAGTATTGCTACTCCAATTTTCTTTTCATTAAGAATTTTTTTTATATTTACTGATTTGAGAGAAACACCGCTTTGCTGTCCCACTTATTTATGCATTCATTGATTGGTCCTTGTATGTGCCCTTACTGGTGATTGAATCTGCAATCTTGGCGTATCAGAACGATGCTCTAACCAACTGAACTACCTGGCCAGGATTCCAGCTTTCTTTTTGTTTCTATTTGCATGGGGTATCTTTTCCATCCTTTCACTTTCAGTCTGTATATGTCTTTCAATTAGTAGTCTCTCGTAAGCAACAGGTAGATGGGTCACGTGATTTTTTCTGCTGCTGCTGCCATTGAAACTTGGGTCATGTTTTTGAATCCATTCAGCCACCCTGTGTCTTTTTATGGGAGCATCTATTTACATTTAAAGTAATTATTGATAAGTATGCACTTAGCGCCATTTTGTTCATTGTTTTTTGGTTGTTTTTATTGTTCTCTGTTCCTTTCTTCTCTTGTGGTTAGCTGGTTTTCTTTAGTATTTTGTTGGGGTTCCTTTCTCTTTATTCTTTGTATATCTTTTGTAGGTTTTTGGTTTGTGGTTACCATGAGGTTTTATAGATATCATTAACAGTCTATTTTAAGCTAATAGGCACTTAAATTCAAATATATTCTATAAGGACTACATTTTTACTCCCCCTCCACATTTTATTAGTTATATTTTAGGTCTTTTTGTGTTGTTTCTTCCCTACTCATTTGTAGTTTGAGTTGAATTTGATACTTTTTCTTTTGACCTTCATAGTAGCTTTACTTATCTTTACTGTTGAAAGTATTGAAGATGTCCCGCTTTTCCCCCCCCATTACCCCCTTTCACCCCACCCTTGCCCCCCCAATAGGAGCTTTTTAAATAAGCCATTCTGTTCCTAGATCTGGAGTGGTCTGCCGAGTCAAGTACTGCAATAGCCTCCCTGACATCCCCTTCGACCCCAAGTTCATTACCTACCCCTTCGACCAGAACAGGTGAGACTAAGATTGAGAATGGGAAACAACTCAGAGTATGAGCTCCTTGTGGGCAAGGCCTGCTTCTCTCTTTTTTTAATCCTCACCTGGGGATATTTTTTCCATTGCTTTTCAGAGGGAGAGAGGGAGGG